AACTGGGGACAACCCCGAGATCGAAAGATTGAGTTTCTACAGACAATGCTAACCGTCAATACAACATAGTTTGAGTTATTACCAACTGAAAGTAAGCTGGATTGTTTTGGAACTGACTGTTGTGATTTGTGACAATAATGATCCCCATCGACAGTTTCACTAGCGTGCTGAAGTCAGTAAACATTGGGTAGTCACATGGACTTGAGGGAAGACTAAACGTGTCTTCATCTTTCGCAATATACATGGTGATACTTCACAGTAGATCACTGTTTCGACCCAAGAGTAACGTTTGACAGCGGTGATCGAACAGATATGTCAGTGTCCTGAGATTTCAGGAAATTCGTATTGTGCTGTCAAAGGCATTTCATACAAACTCAGTTGTAGTGTTATTGTAGGCTATCAAGGTGACTAAAGAGCTATATAAACTGTTAACTTTAAGCACAGAAAGAGTATTGATGTGGGTGACTTGGGTTTCTCTTTTCTCTCTAAATTCTCTGATCTACTTAAAGTACACAGTTGCAGGGTTTGGTTGATTCCTTGGACAAGAACCTGTATATATGTGCTTTCCGCATTTTTCAGGTACCAAGTGCCGCTCAAGGATCACCGTGAATAACAGCAGATCAAGAAGTAGGTCGCTAGAACAAGATATCACATCACCCAACCAACTTGTATGTATGCAAATGTCCTGGTTAAGGCCACTAAGATAATAGAAACCGGGGGTTGGTGATGGGAAATAAAAACAGATGGCGGCAGAGTATAATTTGCATCAGTGTTATCCCTTTGTAAATCACCTATTTTCGCTCCTACACAGATAGAGATTATTCTTACAAACATCTGTGGCCGCTTTTACGTCGATTTGTTTATTAACCATGGTCCTTTCTCGGTATATGCGAGTTAATACTTGCCAAAGGGCAGTAAAAAGATAGTTAACTTAGAACATTAGTATTATTTTGGTGTAGATGTATATAAGTTGCCAGAACATATTTAAACCGTACCCATTTAGCTAAGTTGTAGGTAATTTCCTGTAAGTTCAAGGTGTAAAAACTGAAATATGTATATTTGAAGATCATTAACGACAACAGTATCACAAGAGGGGTAAATCTGTGAAAAACACAACTCATTTTGGTATAGAGATCAGGATAAACCCTTAATGCAATAAGATAGGGAAACTGTTTCGCTGAACAAATGATTATTATCTTAATACTATGACAAATCAGTGTAAAGTGACCACAGGAACTATGTATTGCAATTAATCAACTGACAGAATTCCCTAAGTATGGGTATCTTAAAACCTAACATTGTAAAAAGATACTTCTTTATTCATAAACCTTGCAGCCTTTAAAATAAAGCTCAGAAGCATATAACTGATATTTTGACTATGATAGACTTTCGGGTCAATAAATACAATTAAACTGTATTGGGACAAACTCCGCACGTAGCCCTTGTAGGGTTACTGCCGGTCTCAAGTCGGAATAAAGGAGGAGGGTTGGGCACAAAGTCAGCATCCATATCCTGCATAAAACAACCTTAAATAACAAACGCTAACCAGGAAATAATCATTAACACCACTTAAAGTCCGCTCCGGGAGTCGAAGGATCTTTCTTTAGGAGAATTCTGACACTCTATGGTGAAAGCCGAAATTCTTTGAAAATCACGAGGTCGATGACCCTTCTAACAACCAGAGCAACAATTAATGTGGGCACAAAGAATGTCTGAACAATGTGGAAGACCGGGAGGACCAGTCTAATAGCTACGGAAATGAGGAGATACAAATAGGCGGTGCGCAAAATAAGCGAAATCCATCGGACCAAAACTGGATAGAAAAGATTAGCTTTGTGAGAGGTGCCGTTGTACTCTAGCCATAAAGATGAAAATGCTTCACACACGAGAAATTGCATGGATGCTTTCTAAAGAAACACGAATTTCATAGATAAAATGGTGGTTGAAGGTAGTCAACAAAAAACCCTGGGCCCGGGTTTCGTGATATTTGGCGCTCGTCAGCAAGGTGTACCTGTAATATTGAGGGAACCGATGCTCCCTGACGGGTTCGATGCTGTGTCATCCAGCTTCACAGGCAGAGACGTTACTACTGGGTTATCCGGGCCGCGACCGACCTCTTGATTGATCACTAGGTGGTGATCAATGTCATGTGTATCAAGCTCTTCTTAATGCACAGTGGTAACGTCTCTTCACATAGTGCACGCAGTGCCAATTCACCTAGGCTGGTGGCCACATCGATAGTATTCGATTTGCACTAAGAAGGACCTGACACACACGACATTGGTCACCATCTAGCGATCAGTCAACTGTGGATTTCATAGATCCGGGATTATCAAAGCATCCTTCAAAACAGAGGGGATTAAGATGAGTGTTGTCCAGTGATATGCGACCACCAATGATAGCAAACAAAACGATAAAAGTCGGTTTTATGAAGCTGCAGTCAGTCATAGAGAAGTGTCCAGGGAAGGGACTGACCATCCTAATGGGAGACCTAAACGGCAAAGTCGGAAAAGACAAAACCAGACATAAATGTATCATGGGACGCTATATACTATAAGGACGTGAGAACAAAGAGAGGAGCTGACATAGTCGGACTACCAGTTGGTAATGACCAAAACGAAACTGAAGCTAAAGAAGCACTGAACAACTGGAAAAACAGCATTACAAAGCTTTAATACAGCCTTCCTTCGAGATAGTGACAAACTAATCGAATTCAAGATAGCTCTCAACAACAGGTCCTAAGCCTTACAAGATTTACTGAAAGAAGTTACTATGGAGAACAACTGAGAAGGGATCAAAGAAGGACTAACTTCAATGTGTTAGGAGGTTCTGGGTCGCAAGAAGCATAATGATGAGAAATGGATCTCTATGGAAACCCTGGACAAGATTCAGGAAAGCAAGAACAAGAAAACAGCAATTAACCGTTGAACAAGAACAGAATGTCAAGGCACAAGCTGAGTACACAGAAGCAAACGAGCAAGCGAAGAGGAGCACTATAGCTGACAAGAAAAAATATGTGGAAGACCTAACAACAACAGAGGAAAAAGCTGCAAGAGAAGTAAATTTGAAACAATAAAGAAACTAGCAGGGAAATATGGTAAACCAGAAAGACCGATCAAGGACAGAGACGGCAAGACAATCACTGAAATTCAAGAACAGCGAAACAGGTAGGTAGAAAACGTTGAAGAAACTGTTGTACAGACCAGCCCTACTGAACCCACTACAAACCGAAGCAACACACTTAGACATTTTTATAGAAGTCACTCCACCAACGATGTAAGAAATCAGGATGGCCATCAGAAAAATCAAGGGCGGAGAAGCAATGGGATCAGACAACATACCAGCTGAAGCATTTAAGTCGGACATACAGGTAACTGCAAAGACACTCCACATTCTCTTCAGAAAGCCTTGCGAGGGAGGTTAATCGCCGACAGACTAGAAAGGAGGATACCCCACCAATATACCAAATAAAGAATATCTGAACAAATGTGAGAATTACAGAGGTATCACATTACTGTCAGTACCAGAAGTTCTCCACAGTGTTGCTGGACTGGATGAAAGACGCAGTAGACGTCTAACTTCGAGATCAACAGACCGAATTTCGTAAGGATCGGTCGTGCACAGATCAGATCGTCACATTACGAATCACTGTTGAACAATCAATTGAATGCAACTCGTCACCATACATCAACCTCCTTGACTATGAGAAAGCATTTGACAGCGTGGATAGGACTTCATGGCGACTTCGACACTATAGTGTACCTGAGATCGTCAATATCCGGCGGAACTCATTCGACGGACTACAATGCGAAATCGTGCATAAAGGAAAGCTGCATCCTAAGTCAGGATCGGTGTCGGACAAGGCTGTTTACCCTTCCCCTTTCTTCTGGTGGTTGACTGAATTGTGAAGACCTCCACATCTCAGGGGAAGCATGGAATACATTTGACAGCTTGCATACAACTGAACGATTTGGACTTCTCAGATTACCTAGCTCTTCTATCCCATACACACCAATAAATCCAGGCGGTGATATCCAGTGTAGCAGCAGTAGCCTTCAACATATACAAAAGAAAAAGCAAGATCCCCAAATACAACGCCGAAAACACCAACGCAATCACATTTGGTGAAGCTCTGGATGAGGTGCAAAGTCCTACGTACCTGGACAATATCAACGATAAACAAAATGGATCTGATGCAGATGTGAATGCATGGACCGGCACAAGGACAGAATTCCTACAACTAAAGAATATCTTGAACTCAAAACATCTGTCAGCCAAAACCAGTGTTAGAATCTTCAATACGAATTTCTACACAGTTCTATTGTACGGAGCTGAAACTTGGAGAACTATAATCATCATCAAGAAAGTACAAGTATTTATAAACAACTGCCTACGCAAGACAATGCACGTTCGTTGGTCAGACACCATCAACAACAACCTACTGTGACAGAGAACAAACAGGATTACAGTTGAAGAAATTAGAACGACGCTTGAGGTAAATTGGACATACATTACGGAAATCATCAAACTGCAACACAAGGCAAGCACTAACCTGGAATCTTCAAAGCGAAGGGAAAAGAAGACCAAAGCATAGAAGGCAGACATCAAAAGAACGAATAGCAATTGGGAAGAGAGTTAGTTAGAGAATCCTGGTCGGTAGCTATGTTAGATTAGGGGTAACAGGCGTAAGGAAGTACTAGAACAAAAATCCTGCAGACGGCAGCTGAAACAAACAGTTGTTTGTATAGATCAAATCCGAGCACACATTTCTCAATTCCCATCATCCTAAATCTATAGTTCAAAAATAGATGTATATATTTTATTGACTAGTGTTACCATATAATACCCATTTCAGTCTTTATACATTCAACGATGTTCGTTAAGTCGAGGTTTTACCTGTTCACGATGATTAAGTAAGCGAACTGAGAAGTCCGGCCGTTCGACCAAACAGGAATGTGGTGGTAAACAGAACAACAGTGAAAGCGATATAAAAATTGTTTATAAGAATATAATATATATTTGAACAAAATTTATACAGTTTACATGTTAGATGCCAAGATAAGAAATTTCGGGGACATGTGCACTGGAAAAATAACCTGGATAGGAGGTGATGTAGGGATGAGGCGTACATCAACAGATTGAAATATTAGTTGGCACTAACACTGTAGTTTGATAGAATAACCTACAGCATTGTAGAAAAATGAAGTGCTAAGTATACTAGGTACATATGTGAAGTACTAATCTTTCTGGGAGGTTAACAAGGCAAACGACAAAGAATAATATTCTAAAGTGTATGTTCTTTAATATACTGGTCTTTTAGCCAATAACTGAACACCTTTAAAAGAAAGACAACAAAATATTGACTCGAAATTCTGAATAATGTACTAAATACGAAGTAAAGTGTTGTAGCATACGGTTAGTTGGACTGAGACTGGTCTCACATATATTTCGATGTGAATTTACCTCAATTCACCGGTTCTAATTGCCAATAAAATTTTCGAGAGAACCATGACTGAATACGCAAGCAGACTACACATTGAAAGTGAGAGTTTATTCGTGACTTAATAATTTGCAAAGACAGGGAGAAAACCTGAAGAGAAAGATAGTTGTAGAAGAAAGATAAGACGAGCTTTACAAATGTTCTAACTGAAAATAATGTGAGGTTAACATAGCTGCATATTTCACAAAGAATAAATACCATCCCAAAATTATATGATAAGATCATGGGTGGTTTGTTAGTGGAATATCCATCTGAACTTGAGGCCTTGCCCATTCGACGAATTCATCAATCAGTACTGGCCAAGCACCTGTAGGTAAAAGATAATTTTTGAAGTGAAAAGCAACTATAAAACAGGAAATGATTCTTATCAAGGAAAATGAATATAGATATAAAACGAATCAAGCACCATAAGGGTATCATTGGATCATTTAAATACATTTTTACTACACTGTATCATAATATCAAGAAGTTTCAAACATTACGTAATTTACAACACATTCAAATATTCTTAGTCAAATCCTTATTCTATTGTTTTGTTCCGCAATCAGTTTTAATCCTGACATTTAATAAATAAGGGTTTAGCTCATTATCAGAATCTAGATGTGGAGCAGCCCGGATGGAGCGACGGGCTAGATACATGCACTTAGTTAATTGAGTTAGGGAGTCTGCTTCATGCAGACTTCAGTATAGGCATTTGTGAAGCATTGACAACAATAACAATAAGTGTAGTTATTTAACCTAGTGCATGAGCTCGTATTTATTTACGAATATTACCGGAATAGAAGACTGTAAAGTTAATCGACTGGTGGTATTGTGTAATGTGTTTACGTGTTCAATAAAACGAAGATGTATTGATGGTTAATGTATGAAAGCCAGATCACGATACTCTGATGATTACTTCCATTCAACTACCTAATAGTAAAGTTTTGATTTGGTTAGTGGTAGTGTTTTGTTATAGTATCCGTACTCAACATAAATCTTTTTAAAAAATGAGCAAATAAATACACTAATCTTTATATACCTTCTTCATCGTAATTAGACATGTCAGGATAAATTGTTTCAACAAAGTCTAGAAGAAGGTCCCATGTGTCCTTAGAAATCGGACGTTTATGATGTTCCTAGAAATATCAAGACAAAAAAAACCGATAAGTCAATATAACTGGCTGTTCAGTGGTGAGAATACTCACCGGTAACACAGGCAATAAACTAGAAAAAAAGTTCGTTAGTCGAAACCATTTAAAAATGCATCAGTAAGTAGTTAGACAAAAGAAATATATCTGCAAGACCCACTTACAATATGGGTCGGAGTACTGGTAATATGTCTTAATAAACAGTGTGGAATTAGTTGGTAGAGCCAATATTATATTGAAAACTCTTCCAGTTGTCGATAAATGATTGAGTAACTCAGTTATCAACTTTTTAATTTCGTGTTGAAACTCATTACTTTGATTTGAGAATTTAGTGTTCATATTAGCCATCACATAAAAGGTGTATCTTTTGTGGTCAGTGAACTGAATTCTTTTAAGAAATACTATGAACAACTACTCAAATTAGACATTAGGAAAGTGGGAATTAAGCAAGCTGCATTACGGTTCACTTATATATATGTTTCAATTCATTAATAGTGCAGATAAAAAGATGTGAAAATTTAAAGAATTCGCTTTAATTTACCCTCAATTAAATACATCTAACAACTGTTCAATTAATGTATTGGTCTATGAAATGACTTACTTGAAGGAATTTAAACCATAGGGATAAGTGACAAAATCGACCACGTAGAAGAATTTCCCAGTAGGGAATAGCGTACTGAAGAACTATGAACAAATACACGCACAATGAAGTAATACCGGTAAAGAAGTTTAATTAAAAAAAAGGAAATAATAGTAGCTTAATGATTCAGATTAACCCATTCACTAGGTAGAGGTTTATGTACTTAACTTTGAGCCATACTAAGTGTGATGCTAATTAGTTCAAAAATAGTAGATGGAACGTGGTTCTAATTTAAAACTTTGTGGTTAAAAGTTGATTACCTTACCTATCATTTGACAAACTGCTGATTTAAGCATTAGATATTTCAACTACTATGGGACAAATTCGGATGTAAGTTTAACTGTTTTACCGTTGGTTAGTAATCTTTAAGTCAGTCATACACAACGAGTATCCTAGTGCATATATGCGTTTGCCTAACACAGTGAGGTTTAAATCGATAAGACGAAAAGCAAAGAAGTGTGGATAAGAGTGATATCAAAGACAGTGAAAAAATTCAAAGAATATAATTTGGAAAGGAAGAGTGAAATTTTAAGCGGCATGAAAAGCTGAAATACTTAGGATAAATTACAGATGGACTGTAATTTAAGATATTAGTAAAGAAAAATAACGAGTAGCTCACAATACAACATAGAAATAAAAATATTAGCAGGAAATATTGGCCAAAGGAGAAGTCCAAATCACATAAATTTTTACACAGATCGAACAGCTTATCATAAAGACATATAGACGACTTTTAGTGAGGATCAAATGTTACTTCCGTTCTGAGGCTCCATGCAACAATGAAGTCAGTGGGACTGGATACCAATGCCCCAGGATTAACGGATGAGCACATATGTGTAATATAATTTTTCTATCTACAGATGAAAAATGAATTTGTAGTCCATGATTAGAATTTCGAGTATAGGTTATTGTGATAGTGAACACTGAATAAGACATAGTAAATATGTTTTTGTAATATTCCGATGAGTGGACAGTATTTTTAACTTGACGTAAGTCACTTTTCCCGCGTTAGTAAATAAACAATATTTACTTTGAAGAATTGAATAAAGTTAAGTCACGAAACGTCAGAAATACAAATTTCTACTCATTGGGATATCACAAAAAATATATTTATCATTAACTTTCTACCCAATGGTCAATTTATTTGGGACTGAGACCTATACAGAGTTATAGCCAAACCTGCTTGTTATTCGATGTACACCAATGTATGAACGTTGAAGAAAGAGTTTGAGCGTCACATGTGGTTTCAGAATTTGATCATTTATCGATTTACAATAGTCGAAATTTGATAAAACCTTCAGAGTCGAACTGCCGAGTTAAAGAATAAAATTCTTAGGAAACGAAGTAAAGGATTAAAGTGACACAAAATACCTTAGCTTATAATGAAATAATTAGTTTTTCTGATTTATGAGGTTAAGGGTATAGGATGAACAATTCATTATCTTCAATGATTATCACCAACCGGATAAAAAATGTGATACAATATGTGAACCTAATTTTTATTTATGTATTTAAACGCATAAACATTAGTACAAGGAGGCATCAAATAAATCAAATGATTTGTGTGAGGACTATGATACTACCCGAAGCGAAGCCGGTGGTTTTCTTAAGGGGGTTACTTCCTGACCCTTCGACCTAGAGGTCTAATCCACAAGGCAGTGGGGCAACGTCAGGAGATGCAGTTCCATAGTACCCGGTGACTAACGATTGGTTCACATGCCTTGTTTCCTTAGGGCTCTGGAGCTCGTGTGCACCATTAGTTTGGAATGAGGGTTTTTCAACTCCCCTAGGTGGAACCTCCGTGCCCACCAACTCAGTTAAAGCTCCGGACATTCTCTTTTCATCCTCTCAATTTTGTAAGCACCCCCGCCGCGAGAAGGCAATGAGTAGGACTTCTCTGGCAGTGGCTCAGTCAGTCAGTTACAACGTGGAACCAGGCATACACATGCATCGGTTCAAGTTGCCACACCTCATTAGCATAGCAAGACGAGCACCGGATTCACAGAAGCAGTTAACTCAAACGTGTAATATATATAGGAAAGATTTTATGTAAGGATATAGTGCAGAAAGAATGACATGAAATAATTTTAATCCCATAGTTTGAGGGAAGACAAAGTGTGTATACACCTACGCCATTATGATCGATTCTGACCCATGTCACCCAGAGTCTCCAACCATTGGTTACGATAGTCACGCGGACCCCAACCAAGTAGTCTGCATCTACCAACATGGCTAAGACTAGGAGTTAGAGACTTCAAACACTGATGCCACGTTTTGGGTTGACCGCCCCTAACTTCCTTCCAACCATTCCCAACACTAGTCAGCACTGCGCATCGTGGTAATCGGTGTTCAGGCATACGCAGTGGCTGTATACGTGTGATCATGTGACAGCATTTCGAAAGGGAGAACTGAATCTTCCCACTCTCGACCGTACTAGGGCATTCGGGTGATAAACTGAAGACGGTTTTTCGGAAGGTCAATCCTTGAACCAAAAGAACTAGTTTACAGAAAAGTAGAGAAACATTTGGAAATAAAATCTGATGGTAGCCAATAATTTGTGCTTTTTGGTAAATCACTTTTAGTGCTCAAATCTTTAATATAATGGGAGACGTTATGAATAAATTTTGAAACGAATATACAACATTAACAATAACTACCATAAGAAGTTACTTAAATGAATAGAGGACAAGAATCTACCTACCTAATGATTTACTTTCATGTTTATCCAAATTAGCAAAACCAAATGTGAATAAGTATAAAGAACGAAAATTTTGTTTGTCTTCTATATCACTTAAGAGACTAGGAAGTTTATTACGCAAGGAACTGATTGAATCACACCTAAAACAAAGGAATAAAGAGTACAGCAAGTACATTATTTGTGCATCTCAACAATTAGATCATAGTTTGAAACAAATGAAGTGTTCTAATTACATCTCTATGTCGAGTAAAAAATGTTAAGAATTCTAAATTGCTATATTTGTAACACAATTTCTAGTCGACCGTAAAGTTTCAGCTATTTTAGTAGTCGCATAATGCGAATTTATTCTTATCCTGCGTAGAACATAAAAGAACATTCTTATTTTTGAGGCTATATAATCTTGAAATAGTAGGACCAGATGTCTGACTGGTTTTCCTTTTTTAGTCAACATTTTTTCAGTTTGTTTGATCAAAAATTCTTGAAAGGCTTCTTCAGAAAACTTGTCTGTATCTTAACAATATGGGAGATTATTTAGTAATGTGGTCCTGGAGATCCAAAAGAACAGACCAGCACTCTTACTAGAACTGTCTAGCACTAAATCTTTATTTCTCAAATCAATTAGATGGGACTTATGTCCACTTGGAAGTAATAGTCTGGCTATTTCTTCTGCAAATGCCACACGACTATTGCATCTTTCTTATCCAAGTAATTTGGATAAATATTGTCCGCTCGCAATTTCTTGGTCTGATTTCGAATTCAATTGAAGTATTATGGCCAAGAAATAATAGATAGTATAATACAACGTTGCCTTCATTAAATAACAATATAAACAAAAAGCTAAATAATTTGAAACTGTAATTGCACTAATTTAAAATTCGTTGTTGATATACAAGCTACACGGTATAGTTTGGCATTTAGATTCAAGGGGCTTAAGTCATTAAATGCGCATTACAATCGCCAGAAAGAGTAGACACCATTGAAGTACGATCAGGTAGTTGACCATGGACTCTTTCAAAATATCTCTGGAGCGGCAGATCTGTTACTAGACGAGTGATTTTAATTTCAAGTATACATTAGTTAGTTAAAGTTAGTCAGTCAATGTGACCTTTCATTGATTGAGGTGGATAGAAAGAGAGCCTAGCTATCATATGAGTTTAAACAATCTACTGAACAGAGTAGGATTAAGATAAAAAAGGTCACCATCTGGCTAGACCAAGAAATATGACCGAACGCTAAAACCGTTGAGTTCTCATCTAAGTTATGTAAGTAACTGTGGATTTCTCGGATGGAATTCACAAGGATTTATATGTCATGAATTAACATCATTGGGTACGATGGATTAGATACACAGACTCAAAACGTTAAATATTATACTACTTCTGTCTATTTTTCTTTTGATTATTGACTATTATTATTTTCACAGTATTAGTTTTCATTAAGGGAAGATGAAATGTACTAATTTGAAATAATAATCGGTTGCACCCAGTTGTGTTCTGTTGAGATGTCAGACTACTGGATCCTGGCGGTTAGTGGCCTGAAGGTTAAATGCTTGCCGCGAGACCTGGGGGCTCTAGGTTCGATTCCTGGTGAGGTCATGGGTGTGCACGGTTGAGGAGTTTCACACCAGAACGAAACAGGTTTCTGGTGCCTCATGGTTTCCAATGGTTATTTGACTTACGTCTGTTCATGATCTTAATACTGAGAAACAGTTATAGCACTATATAATGTTACGGAACTATATTTCGTAACGATTCCTAGTGATCCCATCTTGATATAATCTATTAAAATAGGATTAAGCATAGTAGGTACCTTTATTTTAACAGTACTCAACTGAAGAAAACTAGTCTCTAACTCGACTGTGAAGTTTAGAAAGTAAGCAGATTTCCATTAAATTTGACCAAGACATATCATTTTAACCTAAAATATTGTAAAGAGAACTTACCCCAACTCTCTAAACCCACGAAAAAACTCCTCGCGAGTAAATTCTCCTTGGGTTTTTGCTGAAAACTTCCAAGCTAGGATTAAAGTAATTAAACTTTCTGGGTCAATATGGAGATCTGTGACAAGAAATAGCTCCATCCCTGTAGCTAGTATGCGATCAGGACACTGAGGATCTACTCAGAAATATATAATGGAAAAAATGGCAATAGTTTTTAGTTCAAGAAAATTTATATCATCCAACGAAACATACTTGTGGAGTTATTTATAACTACAGAGGCAGAGATATTGTTTCCCTAGATTTAGAATATCTAAACATGATTATAATATTTCTAATTGTGAAACAAGTATGGGTAAACGTTGTAGGATTTACAAGAAACGGCTGTATTTCTCAGACAAGTTCGATTCGTGTAGAAAATCGAAAGACTACTTGTAACCGAAACTCAAATCCTCTGAAGCGATGATGAGTTAGTTTTATATACAACTGAGAATCAGAAGTCCAACACCAACATACGGTAAAAGCTAATTCTAAGAACTTAAAACTTTGGAAGCAATATCAAACAGTAAGAAATTAGTGATATTTAAGATGTCACTGCTACACAGAATATATCAGCAGTCAAGATATATTAGTCTGTAACGGAGTTTCGGTGAGATTGCAATTTCGAACTGCATTCCATTTTTAGCATCTGGAAAGTATTACTAGTCTTAAGATAAAACATGTGATTCAAAGCCAAATAATGAATGAACACATGTTGGGTTATTGATATAGTAATTCATCTAACTGACATCAAAGTAGTGACCTAATTGAAACAAATATTTTTTCCCTTAAAAGCACTTCCAACTAAAATGAAGTTGGCATTGGAATAATAAATTCAGAGCAAATATGGAGAAACCTCTGAAAATATTCCAGCAGTTGTGTTCTAAAGTTGAGAATCAAGCTGAATTACTGGAGCTTCAGGACTCCAAGCACTTTAAAACTTTCACCCAAATTCATAAAATGAAGTGGGATCCGGATACCCCCAGATACCAAATAAGTAAAGTGGCTTAAGTACAATTGACCAGTCTCTTATTGGCATATGTAAATCCTGTGCGTATTGACTCGATATTGTCTTAAGTCACAAGCATTATACGAAAAAATGGATGGTGGCCAGAAGTGAAATCCAGGACGTGGATTTCGTCCTATTTGGGACTCGTCGGCCGGATGTATCTGCATCCCAGAGTTGATGCTCACTCCGAGACTCAAGGCAATCCGCACGGAATGCAGATATACCAACACGAGACTGATCAATCACAGTCCTGAACATTAATGGGAAACCCCCAAATGCCTAGGTACGGTCGAGAATGGAGAGAGTAAGCTCTCCCTCTCCAAATGCACTCACATAGCCACGTGCATACAACTACTAACAGGGAAGTCCTACTCACTGCCTTCTCGCGGCGGGGATGCTTACAAAATTGAGAGGATGAAAAGAGAATGTCCGGAGCTTTAACTGAGTTGGTGGGCACGGAGGTTCCACCTAGGGGAGTTGAAAAACCCTCATTCCAAACTAATGGTGCACACGAGCTCCAGGGTCCTGAGAAAACAAGGCGTGTGAACCAGTCGTTGGTCACCGGATACTATGGAACTGCATCTCCTGACGTTGCCCCACTGCCTTGTGGATTAGACCTCTAGGTCGAAGGGTCAGGAAGTAACCCCCTTAAGAAAACCACCTGCTTCGCTTCGGGTAGTATCCTAATCCTCACACAAATCATTTGGTTTATTTGGTGCCTCCTTGTATTAATGTTTATGTGTTTAAGTACATAAATAAATATGGGAAGATTCAAACAAACAATACAAAATGAACTAAAACTTCACCCCAGTGCACAAGCTAGTGGCTATCTGGACTCAGTAGCAAAGTGGATAACATGGTGGCGTTTGAGGTGAATGGTACTTGCTTCGAGTCCCGGAGTGAACATCAGCTCTAGGTTGCACACACATCCAGCCGACGAGCCCCAAATAGAACGAAACGCGAGTCCTGGATTTCACTGCTAGCCACCATCCATCTTTGCTTATAATGACTTGAGTACAGTTGTTCTTTAACACAAAATATAATCAATAGTCCATTCTCAGGTTTTAACGTCATCGGAAAACCGGGTACAGGTGTTCAACACATTAACGCTTACCACGATAACGCTGGAAGAGATGGTCAATTTTCGCCTCATTAATAGTAGGTCCTTGAGGAGTTGGATTCTGTCTGTAGAAGTAATCTACGGCCTGTTCTAACCTCCAATTGCTCATCTGAAGGCAGTCAATAGCAACCTTATCAGAACTTCGAGTAATAGCACTGAACTTTTTTACGCGGTCTCTTTGTGAGGAGCTCAGTTTATACTGAAAACAAGATTTAAAAAAGATGGACTGGAAACGAATGTGCGAGGAATATTACGCTCAAAAGAATACAATCAAACACAGCATTCTACCACGTAAAATTACATTTACTAAGGGGAAAAACTCTAAAATGAAGTATAATTACTGAACATAATACGAACAGCAATGACCTTAAAATGCTTAAGCCAAAATAGTGGTTACCAGGAAAATATACTTATAATCAGATAATTTGTAGTACTACTGTTGAAGAGCAAAACTACATTGTTTATTGGACATGGATGTTAAGCACTTGAGTGATTATAACAAGACAAAATGTAGTTTTTAAGAAGTTTATTCTAATTTCCTCTAGAAATAAAGAAGTCGAAAGGAACGCACTGAGGTTCCTTAAGAAGGAAAAAAACATCCTTGTTACCATGTCCAAAAACAGTTGTATGACTAGTTCTGATCAGTGAGAACATCACTGAAAAAGATGAGCATTAATAATGTCTTAGATTAAGAGGAATGAGGAAACAACCTACTTGCGAACAGCTTCAATTTTTTGTCAACTGTCATTGTAGCTCTTACCAATTAAACTATGACAGACTTAAAACAATGACAAATGGAAGGACTTATAGATATAACCATGAATGTTATCAGGAACGTAGGTCAGAAAGTAGTGTTGAGGCATTAAATTGAGTGCAGAAATGGAAAAACAGTAGCAGACGGTTTCGGAAGAATATTAACTTCTTGTGATAATTACAAAACAGATGTTTGTTTATTGTAGCTTCTGAGGCATTAGATACCATAATCATGTGAGACTTAATTGGACATGAGAAGCAGAAAAATTGTGGGATTGAGATTTCAAAATTAGAGAGGGTAGTATTGGGTCTACATCCTCCATTGGGTGTGTAATCACAGACTTGAAAATGCGTATTGTCTTACCTAAGGTATTTTCAAATTTAGTGAGTCATGCGAAGAACTGTGGAGGTAACTTCAACAGGTTATGCACACTCATTTATTGCATACCGACTTTACTGGATTTGACCTTTATGAGATTAATCTCTTTTTACGGTCTCTGACCGATTCAAAGTACAAGATTCTGTTAAGTGGAAACCCCGATAGGCTACAAGGTCTAAAACTGAGCGAACGTTAGAATGTTTAAAGTATTGGATTAATTAAACATTAGTCTTCTATTTATGTACTAACAGCATATAAATCCTGATTCTAAAGCTCCATGCAATGCCCCTGATCATTAGTCACAATAATTGTGTGGTCCCCAACAGGGCACAGTACAACAGTATATGACTTCATGGGTTGAAACCACATCTTGGTTTGGCTGTCCCTCTCTGAACTTGCTCTTACACCAACCACCATTAGACGTCAAAGTAGGAGGTGGTTAGACAGGCATGTATTTCACCCATCTCAGTTGATAAAGATAAAAAATCTTACAGCTACAGCCTAATACTGTGTTTAACACCGGCATTGCTTACTCGATAGTCCCAACGTGCTCCAATAGTGGTCCGAAGACACCTATGACTAAACACTAGCAACTGGAATGTCCTTTTAAAAACCGTTTGTTAACTGCGAAGCAAACAACTTAGTGTACTCGTGCCTTTGATAACAGACGGATATACTGACTGCAGTGCAAGTGGCCCAAGCCAATCAAGCTTAGATGAATCCGTACTGAGATTTCATCAGATAGTAACCAATAAGGCTGATGAGGCGTACACGACTAGTGAAATGATTGACGTCCTTAACTATTTCACTCAGCATGATTAAGTTAGACTAGTCCTGAAACAAAATCGTACATTTAGAAGGAGGAAATGTATTCTGAACTAATAATTTGAGTTATGCGCTATGCTATCACTAACACTATCTACATAATCGCGGTATCAGAGTAAGTAGAGTAAGCTTGAGAAATGGTAAGGGGATTAAAATAGTACGAATAGAGAATAAGTTGCAAACTGCACTTTCAATGAAACGTGTCTCTAATACAGAGACTTGACACAAACAATGAGCTACCGTATTAAAAAATTAGTGAGTAGCGCTTACGGTGTTACTTCCCTTGGTTTGATGGAATGCTCATATACAGAAACCGACAGGGTTTAATTGCAGTTCAACAAAAGTCGCTAAAATATCTTGTATGTAGGATTGATGGTGTAAATCTGTTAAGGGGGGCTCGGTGGTACAACTTACAGAATTCATTAAGATTTATGTAGATAACACACATCAAAACAGACACCTCGGATCCTAATGTTCCAATCTTCTATTTTGGGGATCTTTTGAGGAAGCCGCAATAGAAAACCTTAGGGAAATGGTACACAACCCTCAAAATTTTCCAAGATTCGCAGGAGTTAGAGGTTTGATTGAATATTTCCACACAATTTTACAACACTAGGATTTTTCTGCAAAATTCGGGGAAGACTAACAAACTTCTCATGACTTTGGAGAAAACACCAAAAATTTCTTCAAGATAGGGAGACTGTGACATTTTATCCAACCGTAACAAATCAGCAACTCTATACATTAAGTAGAGTAATCCAAGTAATTTAAACGTTACGTTTCATAACAGAGAAAAGTTATGACAACTGTGTAGGTACAACGTTGAATGCAGTTATTACCACCTTAGTTAGCAGATACGATATATCTGAGTTTAAACAGTGAGGCTTATGAGTGATGAACAGGTACAGCTTAACTTGTAGTCATTAATGAATCACAAACATATGAGGCTTCTGGGGAAGATGGAACAAACCTGGGTAGCCATTGTAAAGGAGAAACTGAAACTGGCGGCCAAAGTGGTAGTACACTATTCCTGAAATTACGGAATTCCATTTCCTCGGATAAACTCAACGTTGACAGTAAATTTCATATTCTTGAATTTTTAGTTCATTGAAAATATGTTTAAATAACTTAAGACGCTGCACTTTTTCAAATGTCTACAAAAGATGATCAGTTTGACGGTAACCCAGAGGTTCATTTGGTGCGATCCTCTTCTTTCTTACAGGTTCTGCTTTTCTGTAACATATATTATTTTGTTCCATTTGCGGTTTTAGAAATTTTGTTGTTTATTTTAAAAGGAGTTGTGCTACCTTATTCTCAAGGTTTGTTTGCCAGTGAATTGTCACTGTTCTTATTTTTCATATTTTCTGAAATTCTACGTATATACTGTCTCATGATTTCTAATTTGAAGGAGAGCTTAGTCGGCATCGTGATTTCGTTTTTTCAGTTTTTACCAAATGTTGTTTTGTGTGTGTGGCTCATACTTTGGCAATCATACGTATTTTATATTGACTTAGTCTTAAGCTCCATAATGCTTATTTTGTACTTTCTTGAAGTTGTTTTTGACATGATGGTTCTTGTAACATTGTCATGTGTGTCTGCTTAGTTTATCTCTTATCCGAAAATATTTTTTGTTAATGAACTCAAATATATTTAGTGTTCCCAGTGGTTTGAAAAAATCAAATATTTAGTGCGTAGCTTTGTGTTTTAATAGGGCTAAACGGAATCTGAATTTTGTGAATCTTTCTGCATAACATAATCGTCGTTGTTTTCATCACTAATGATGTTTTTATTTAACACAATCATACGACGTTGGTATCCGACTCTTTCACGTATATCATATCAGAGAAAATTAGAAAAGAGTGAAAGGAGTTACAACTAAAGAAAGCTGATTGAAGCCAGAGGGATATAAACATGAGACCACTAGTCTGACTTTCTGATATGTAAAAGGCTATTTGTTTTGGAGAGTAATTTCCTCGACAAAATACCAACAATCCAGGAATATTATTTTGTGATAATCACATATATTATTTTTATGAGAGGTAATCGATCGAACCTTTTATTTCTCATGACTTTACTAATGTTGCCCGTATTTTTAAAATACTTGTAAAGCTCCTGTGACATTAAGGATTAAAATGCCATAAGTATATATAAACAAGGAGCTTCAACTGTCATATCAGTAGATAATGCTACTATGAGATAGAAGGGCGTTTATACTATTCAGATGATTTTTCGTGGAGCATGTCAAGCGAGACCAAAATGAGGTAGCAATAAACAGTGCGATGTATAGAACTGAAAATCTGAAATCCATTCATTTCGTCCAACAGATTATGGATGTTTAGTTTTATTTATCAATCAGTTATAAATGCACAAAGATGTCATAGATATTCAGTGCTTGAAAACGACGTTACTCGTAACACTTGTATAATCGAGAGTCCAAAAGCCAGTCAAGCCCGAATTCATGGATAAATATGTTAGAAGATATATCTGGAAGATAGTCAATATATTCAGAAGTGATCTATGCTAATTAGTTGCGAGGGATGCGTGGCATGGTGTATCCAACGATAATCCAATGCGTATGCTTGCCCTAGTGCCCTCACCTAGGAAGTGTCCAGTTAAACTAATGAGATTAACGTCAAAATTGGAGACTTGAAAAACTACTTGTTTGGTGGTTTATTTACCACTGCATACGAACTCGATTTCTATCAACTTAAAATTAGTACAAGTCAACTTCGTTTTTGAATTTTATGAGGTAGTTGAGCAATTGAGTTCTTAGGATACCTACTATTTGGCGTCCTTTTCCTATTTTAGGAATATAAAGAAAAAGAAATTTTCATTAAAAGTATGGTAAAAATCAAATAAATGTATCATATCTCTTCCAAAGTGCTGAACTCCATATATTCTCTCAATATACTTAATTTAGATTAGGGGGTCAACTTGTCTCTACCACCAAGTTACGTTCCTCAGCTACAAAAACATCAGGCTCCCTAATTTTTCAACTCTTCAGACAGGTATCTTGTACCTATCTCTGCAACACTAACGCCATGTAGGACAATATTACGTAATTTATTGAGAAGCTCCAGGCGTTAACTACTCAACTGAAAAATTATAATCCGATTTTCTCAAGTAAGATTATTTGATCTCCATAGATAATTAATTCTAGAAAGACATAAAGTTGATTTAATATTGTTTTTACACAATAAGACGAAAGAAATCATTTAACTTTCGTGATTTTTTCTCTAATAAGAGGACAAAAACTTCAGGTACTAACGTTGCATACATCACTTAAGAAATAGCCAACATCTCACTCTTTTAGCAAATCTGGGCCACGTCTAGTATTCCGTATGAAGTTCTGGTTAAGTTGAGTATAATGTGTAGAATATCAAACTTCCGAAGCTTAAGAAGACTGAATGATTGGGCTATATGAATAAAATCCCTTCAGTAGTAATTATTTCATAACCCGCCGTCGTTTTTCACCCACTGCTACAAACCACTACTGGGTTTTTATTATATGACGTTTTTTCAACTGGGCATGAATAAAAACCACCCTAGCCAGAATATGTAACTTTGTTCAGGCTAGGATTGATTTTAAAGCACCACCACTTGTTAAGTTCGTCAAAGACGTTTGAGATAATTTATAGTTCAAATGCGTTTTTGTTGCAAAGTTTTATGTCTAATAATCGAGTAATCAACAAATAAGAGTGAGTAAGACTAACGCATTTGTCTTAATGCACCAAAACAGTGTAAAAAAGGGAAAGTTACAAGTCATGACCATAAAAATCAGAAGATTAGGATTAAAACTCGAATGAAGCCCCAAATATTATCTCTTTCTATCTTCAACCTGGGGAAAGTTTCTCATCTTCCCTCATGAACTGTCATCAATACAAAGTTATATCGTTTGAGCAAACCTAGTAACTTTTATTTTAGACATTTTCAGATATTCATTTACTTGAGGTGAAGAAAAGTCACAATTCTTGTTTTCGTGGTTCAAGTAGTAAATTTCCTCATAAATCTAAATTGAAACATAGCTTAAGGAGCCTTAGTAGTGGTGACAGGTAATCATCCAACCATTCATCTGTTTTTCCTCCTCTTCACTTGGCTGACGTCAGAAAGATGTAATTAGTTGATGTCTGCACGTTTTGTTATTTCTATTTCTATATTTGTGAACCTGTTCTTGCCTATAGTATTAGCTCGGAAAATTTACATAATAGAATAAACTTTGCGTTTGGCTAAACTTACCGAGTTATCTTAATCAACAGTTGATTTCGTAAAGTACATAATACTAAGTAAACCAAACGATTCGGAACTTAGCTAGCTTTTAAATTACTTCAAAAAGACTTGGGTCTTATATATTGAATATCCAGTTTAAAATGCTCACTGTTTATTTATTAATGTGACTTTATATGTGAATAAAAAGACAAAGAAGAGTGAATTTATTCTTAAAATTCTTCATTATCAGAATATTGACGCTTTTGGAAAAATTTTCATTTTTGTAAAGGAGGAGCAACAAGCATTATGGAATAAAGTGAATTTATTTCGTTTAGTGTGTTTCAAATCACTCTACGCGCACAATAATTGATACAAATAAATACATAATGAAAATGTTTTACGAACGTAATTTTACATGTAGGTTTAATGGGGTCATTTAGTTCACTAATAAAGAGTATTTATAACAACTTTCGATATTCATACAAGTTAAGTTTACCAGTGATTAGAATAGATGAGACAGACCATAATGTTAAAAAGTAGAAGAAACATGCAAACTGTTATGATTGAAGTGACAGTTAAAGATTACTCGATGAAACCTAATTAGGTGAATGGCTGAAATGAAATAATGTTTAAAAAATGAAGCTATTTATAATGGATATAAAGTGGAAATGAAAACTTGACTCAAATGAATGACAAAGCTTTTATTTGTGATCAAATAAAAATTGATAAGAAATAGGTAATACAGAAATATTAATTTTCAATGAATTCACCATACTCTTAACTCACCGTAAATCAAACAGTGTTGAGTGGAGAAAACAAATGGGAGATGAGATAATTATATTTTGCATAGTAGATAACTTCAAGAACGGAAGTGAAACAACTAGTTGTCAGACATACAGACAAATATACCTTATACAATATCGCTATTGGAAAAGTTAACCGTACATTAGATAAAATATATACTAAGTGTTAAAAGTACTGAGCTTTCAGGCCTTCAGTAGTTTTATAACTTAGATCGGTTCGTGATCCCAACAATATTCAACAATCTCCTATACTGATGAAGTAGTTTTTCATGATATAATTAATGCCTCCATAATCTCATGTCAAAAGACATAACCGGATCATCCAAAGTGGTTTCCTGATTGTCCAAAGACTATTTTTAATATGAAATTTGATTGAATAACATGAATGACAGTTAACTTAACAAAGCTTAATCTGTTTAAAGAAAGAAGTATGGTTTTTTTAATGCATGATAGAAGTTAGTTTATTTAGGTTTTCAGTGTTTCAATAAATATCTGTCATTTTAAGTGATTAGAACAAAATATAAGGTAAATATAAAGTATCTTAACCTAACATATCAATACTTGTCGTGCGATAATTTTGAATAGGAGATATGTGACCATGTCAGTTTTGGAAACACTTAACATAATTAAGTATGAATGACTTATTGCAAGTTCGGGCACATATGCTTTATACAAGTGAATAAATTCCCATCCCCCCTAAACGTTGAATATCTTATTTATGGCAAAAATGATCTCAAAAGATGTTAGATAAACAAACAGTATATTTTACTAATAACAAATAGTACTCAAAACGCAGTTTATGGGTATTTTAAGTTTATTAAGAGACTCTTAAAGTACCAAACAAATCCAAGAAAGATTTGTAGTTGATCAACTAAACTAACGTAATAATTACCGTCAAAATGAAAAGAGTTCGACCATGAAATATAGTTATATACTGATAAGTAACCGTGAACTTGAAAAATAATCAATCTTTTGTGACTGTATAATAATTATAAATCAAAATT